ATGTGGACCGCCTGATTCTAAGCATGCACCCAAAATACAAGAAAAAGGCAAAGAAGAACAAAGATGGGGACAAAAACGGAGAAATATCTGATAAAGAACGGAAGCAACGAATGTTCCCTGGTCTTTCGCTCCCTGACCAAGAGTGGAAGCCTTCATTCCAAGATGCCGACAGTAAAGATGCAATCTCAAAGGAGGTGGAAGGCATTATGTCAAATCTAGAGGGATTAGCAAAAAAAGCAAGACCGAGAGCAGCTGATTTGATGGATGAAGATGAACCACAATTGAAAAGGCGAAGACTAGATGTCTCTCCGCCCCGCAGACGTAGTCCGTCACCACCGAGAAATGACGACCGTAATGGTTATGGTTACGATAATCGTGGTCGTGACGCATATCGAAGAGACAAACGCGTAGAGCTGGATGACAGGCCTGTCGTTTATAAAATCTATGACGGACGTGTTTCAAGCATTCGGGAATTCGGGGCCTTCGTGCAGCTGGAGGGTGTTAAAGGTCGAGTAGAAGGTAAGTTTATGCTTTCAGGGACGCGAACGACGCCTAATGAATGCTTAGGTTTGGTGCACATATCGAAAATACAACAAGCTGGGAGGGTAAACAACCCTGGAGATCTGCTTAGTCGAGGTCAAATGGTCAAGGTTAAAGTATTACAAGTAACAGGCTCGAAAACGAGCCTTTCGATGGCCGATGTTGACCAAAGGACCGGGGCGGATCTGACACCTCATTTACGGATCAAGTCTGAAGCGGAGATGGAAGAAGAACGTGCCGCTATGGCTGCTAGATCTACAACAGGCTCTAATAATATCCCACTTGGACGTGGCGCAGAGGCGCCAACTCGTTCTGCTAGGCGTCTTACCTCACCCGAGCGGTGGGAGATCAAGCAACTTATCGCAGCTGGGGAATTGGATCCATCAGAGTACCAGGAGCTCGATGAGGATTTCTTCAACCCTGCTGCACGTGCAGAGGTTGAGGAAGAGTTAGAAGTGGAGATCCGAGACGAAGAGCCAGCATTCCTGGCTGGCCAGACAAAACGCTCCCTCGAAATGAGTCCCGTAAAAATTATCAAGGCCCCAGATGGGTCCCTGAACCGAGCTGCTTTACAAGGAGCAGCTTTGCAAAAGGAAAGGAAAGAGCTGAGGCAACAAGAGCTCAACGAAGAAGCCGACGCTGAGGCACGAGACTTTTCTACACCATGGTTAGATCCTATGGCTCAAGGCTCAGAGAAGATCTTTGCACAAGATTTGAAGGGTCATATTCTTGGACAAAAAGCGAACGAACAACAAGAGTGGAGAGCAGCGACTTTCAACAAGACCACAACCTTTGGTAAGATCACAAACCTATCCATCGAAGAACAACGCAAAGGACTCCCCATCTACCGTCTGAGAGAGACTTTGGTTCAAGCCGTTCGAGATGTACGTCATCCTGTCCACATTATTATCTTACTGTTACTGATGAGACCACCAGAACCAATTCTTGATTGTTGTTGGAGAGACTGGATCTGGGAAAACAACACAGATGACTCAATATCTCGCCGAAGGGGGATTTGCTGAAAAAGGAAGGATTGGGTGCACCCAGCCAAGGCGTGTAGCTGCCATGTCAGTTGCCAAGCGTGTAGCTGAGGAGGTCGGTTGTCGTCTTGGTCAAGAAGTTGGATACACCATCCGTTTCGAGGACTGTACAAGCCCAGAGACTCGCATCAAGTACATGACGGACGGAATGCTTCAACGAGAATGTCTTATAGATCCAGACATGTCCGCATATTCTGTCGTCATCCTTGACGAAGCCCATGAACGGACGATCGCAACTGACGTCTTGTTTGCCTTATTAAAGAGTACGAATTTATCGTGATGTCTGTAGAGATCTTTCTGACTCCCTCTCAGAGGCTGGAAAACGGCGACCGGATTTAAGGGTCATTGTCACGTCGGCAACATTAGACGCGGAAAAGTTCTCGCAATATTTCTTCTCATGTCCAATCTGTACAATTCCTGGCAAGATTTTCCCAGTCGAGGTGCTTTACTCGCGAGAGCCCGAAACGGATTACCTAGACGCAGCTCTTATCACCGTTATGCAAATTCACCTCTCTGAACCACCTGGAGACATTCTTGTGTTCTTGACTGGTCAGGAGGAAATCGATACATCTTGCGAAATCTTATATGAGCGAATGAAAGCACTAGGGCCCAGTGCGGCCAGCTCGACCTTTTCTTTGTTGCGCTTGGGCTTGGGAGATGGGGGTCACCACAAGGGAGTCCATACCCACACGAGGGTCATATGCGTTTTGTTTGAAGAAACCGGGATCAACAACGTAATAAATACCGTCTATTGTCAAACTTGTCTCCGCAATATTGGTTGCCAGTACCACTTTTCGGGCACCAGGAGGAGCGGGATCAAAGATTTTCGACT